TGCTAGAGTATCAATTATGGGAAACATATTCAGTCTTGCCTTTGTCTTCACTCTAAAACCTCAGGCCTTGTAACTCAGAACAAAACAAACTGCTTAAGAATGAACCTATTTTATGCCCATCCATTCAATGTAAGAGTGACTGAATAAATTCTGGCTGTACTAACAAAAAAAGGAAAAAGAATTAACCTATTTTATAAAGTTCTTGATTATGGCTTTTCACCGTGACAGGAAGCAGCTCTATAACACGTTAGATCTCTGCACATACAAAACCTCTGTGGAGCCTGGGGAGGAGCCACCTCGTGGACACTCATCTCTGCACTGCACACGTCAGGGCTAGAGTCCAAAATCAGAATCCCTGTGATTTGTAAACTCACTGGAGAGCTTGTGGCAACTGTTCTCAAAAGAGAACTGGTGTCCGAAATGGTGGTTTCTCAAAAAAATTAAAATTAAAATTAAAAAGAAACAACCAAAGGATCTTTTTTTCTGAAATGTAATCTAAGGCAGGAAAAAAAAAGCACACTTATACAAAAACTATTTTTCCCTAGATGTAACAGAAATTTTTTGTTACTAACAGTCTCTGGGAGGGCAGCCACCAACTAAACAAACAAAAATGTCCCTTTTGCTAGCTTGCCCCTGAGGTCGTAAGATGCCTATGTTGATGTATGGGGGAACAAAATGTATCAATCCCAAATGTCCTCAGTCCGAAATGAAGGTAAATGAAGTATGCAGGGCTGAGTGGGAAAATGGATAAACTGAAGCTGGTGAACATCGAACACTGCAGAAACAAGGCGAACGCGGATGTTTGTAATTACGTTCTGTGTTAAGTAACCCCGCCACAGCACTCCGGAGAAGCTCCAGAAGACCTGCGGTTTCCACAGTTGTGCTCCAGAACAACGGAAGCCGGAGATGGGGCGTCAGTGGGGTCGGACACAGCAGCACCAGCCCACACGAGGGCGAAGGGCAGGACCTGGGCGGGCAGCTCACCCTCCAGTGGGGCACCGGCAGCAGCGAGGGGCTGCACCACCACCAAGCAAACCTGCATCCCAGCACCCAGTCTCAACGATCATGCACCTCACCATAAAAAGAGGGCAGTCTGTGGGCCTATAAAAGCTGGCCCAAAACGAAGAATCCAGAATGCGTTAGGACATTAGTTCCTGCAGCATCATAAACAAAGCAGTGGAGGCAAAGGCAGCCAGACTGAGCTCAGACCACAGGCCTGAGTCCATGGGCTGGGCCATCCTTAGCTGCCCGGAGCCCCAGTGCCAAAGGTGGAGCCACCGCTGTGCCTTGAGGTCACGGCTCCTCCTGCAACCATTACCAATGAGGACAGCGGCCCTGGACAAAGTCCCTTCCCGTGGGGTGCCGCATCACTCTCAGTGGCACCGGGCAGAGTTTCTGGGGAAAGAAGAGACCAGAAGGGGCCATTCAACCCTCACGTGACAACCAGCGCACAAACTACCAAGCTTCCACCTTTGAACTGCAATCATTTTCAGCAGCTCGCAGAAAACAATGCGACAGAGCCAGCTGGTGCCTGCCCTGGGCAAGCCCTTGTTAGCAGCTTACTCACAGAATCTGCCCCTTCCCACCCCCCCACCGGCCGCACGGTGCTTACCCTAGAGCGCTCACGGTGAGGGTGACGCTGACGCCGCGCTCCCACAGCCAGCCCCTTAAAAAGGCTCAGCAGCACCCACTGAGGTCAACCTCATGAAGTTGTTCGGTTGTGATCCTCGTCATGAGGATTCTGAAATGCCAGGGTGGGGGCAGCTTCCCGCTACCCTGCCCGGCCAGAGCTGCCACTGCCACCCGGCTCCCGACCACGACACGGAGCCCACAGCACCCGGCCACGACTGTCAGAGCAGCGCATTCTCTGCCACCTTCAGCCACGGCTCTGCAAAGCGGACCCACGCACAGCACCCCGCATCCCCCAGGCGGGCTCTCATCACCACTGGGAGGTCCCTCAGACAGCCACACGTGGACGGTGCTCCAAAGACGATTGGTTAAGTGTTAGGTGTTAAGAGATTAAAACAAGAGCCTGGTAACCACGAGGAAAAAAAAGTCTAAAAATAAGCACATGCAACAACCCAAGTGTCCATCCACAGACGAGCAGATAAACAAAACAGAGTCTATCCACGCAGTGAATATCAGTCAACCCTAAAAAAAGCAGAGAAGCACTGACACATACTACCACAGGAATAAACTGTGAAAAGATGACGCTGAGTGAGAGAGGCCAGACACGGAAGGCCACACACTGTACGATTCCGCTTCCATGAAATGTCCAGGACAAGCAAACGCACAACACAGACGACTGGCTGTCAGGGGCTGGGAAGACGGAATGGAGAGGGACCACAAACAGGCATGGGGTTTCTTTGGGGGGTGATGAAAATGTTCTGGAAGGAGACAGTAGTAATGGTTACACAACTCTGTCAGTATGTTAAAAACTACTTAAGTGTACACTTTGAAAGGGTTAATTTTACGATTTTTAAAAATTAAACCTCAAAAACTTTAAAAAACAAGCATATACCTATAACACATTATCATTTACATAAAGAAAAGACTGCAAAGGGTAAAGTTAAACTTCTTCCAAGATTACGGCTTTTTACTTAACTATGAAGAGAGTGAGAGTCCCCGGCAACCTTTATCAGTAGCTCACAGAGAACCCCGAGGAGCAGCGTACCTACGGCACCTGTCAACTACCGAGCGCGGCCACACTACTGCGGTCTATCATCAGCTTCACCGTGCCAACTGCTTTCCTTTTCGGACGTGAAAATGTCTATTTTACCTCATTCACACTTTTAAACGCCTTCTGCTCATCCTCTGAGTGGGAAGGATTATCAAATAACACAGTGAGGGTTTGAAGATGCAATTGCAAATCATGACTGTATCAGAAAACATCGTTATAAGAACTATCGCTTTAAACAAAGTAAAGAAAAAAATCAAACCCTTGTCTCTATCCCTAAAGGATAAACACAAAACCTCTAAGCTCAAAGAGTTCAAAACAGAATAAAAACAGCTTACAAAAGAAATGCAAAAAGAGCTTTAATGGGGCTGTTTTCCCAGGAAGACAGTAAACATTAGATCCAGAGACACTAAGAAGGGAAAACACTCACCAAGGGGACCGCCTCCAAAAGCAGCAAAGGGTGCATCAGGCCTTAACAGTAACAGAAAGTTACATGAATGAGACTGAAATTAGTTTAGCTGTGACAGAGGGAATGTGGGGAAAACTAGACACCATGGTTGCTCTTAAATATGGAAGCAATAGCCCTAAGGTTACTCACCATAACGTCATTATTAAGGGTCAGGCAGAATTCTCCAATTTCCCACGGATAAACAGAAAAAATTGTCAGCTCCAAGCAACTACTCAAAAATCAATTTAGAAAACAGGAACCCTATGAGACATAAATATTTCACTCTGTAACAATGTGCCTTGCCGAAGTCAGCACTCCTCCATAAAAACCCAGAGAGGATGGACCTGGCAGAGAAGGGAGCAGTCCCTGCACATCTGCTGGGTACATCACGCGTGACCTCATGTAGCCCTCCAACAAGCCCAAGAGGCAGGTAACCTGCCATCTACTTCACAGGAAAACACCAAGAGGAGGCAGGATTCTGGCCAAGGTCACACAGCTGGCCAGTTCTGAGTGTGTGGGCAGGGGTGAGGCGGAGACTGGCCCTTTGCGTCATCAGAGGGATTTCTCACTTGACAGAAAGGCTCTCTTCTAAAGCATATTTTGGTTCGAGAGCTAGCTCCTGCCCCACCAAAATAATAATCGCCATCTTCCCCTCTTATAAAGGGACGAATCCGTATACACAAAAGAATTGCCTTCGAGAGCTGAACAGGAGTGGAGGAAGAACCCCAGACATTAGTGCACGGCATCTAAACAGAAGGCTAGCAGCACATGAAACTAACCATCAGAGACTGAGATCCCATGAACAGGTGATGTGGCACTGACTCCCCAAAGCCGACTGAGTCCCCCACAGACAACCACATTGCCTAGGACACTGCTTTCCCTTTGTTATAGCTGGAATACTATTTTTCTGTCCAGTGCACAACATGAGATTTACAGCAGCAGCTGAACACACATTTAAAAAGAAAACCAGTCTCGGAGCTCCACATCACCAAAAAAAAGATAAGACACAGATTAAAACCAGTGGAAGTACCACAACCACATCTTAAAGAAAAACATTAAAGAAAAAAAGCCACAACCCAGAGTTGAAAGACAGCTTGAAAACCACCAGCAGCAAACCAGAGAGGACCCAAGTGTTCCCTGAAAACAGCTCAGACACGGAAAAAGGCACGCAGCACTATGGTCCTGACTACAGTCTCTTCCCCAAGGGCCCCAGTGTCATCTGAACACACGCCACACTGGGTCAAAGAAAAACCCTTTTCCTTGGAGCACCATTTTGGCACTGGGTCCCATGGGGCTGTGAAAAACGAGTTTGAGCCCCAAACATTTGGTGTTTACATAGTTTTGAAACATTTAGACAAAAGTTCACATTTCCAAGTGGACGACCACAATGCCCTTCCTGTTTAGTTTGGAGACCAACACCCTGGGCCTCCCGGCAGACCCAGGATCTGCTCCCACAAAGGCAAGCGTCCCGCATGCGTCCAAGGCTGCAGACGTATTTCTGTGCCTGTCACGGGAGCCGGGCTCCGCACCTGCCCCGCGGCGACACCCGCCCCACCAAGGGAACACGCAGGCCGTGGGGGACGCCGCACAGCCCCCGCGCCGTCCGCTAAGGTTCCCATCTCCACCTCGCCAGCGGCTTCCCTTCCTGCTAAGAAACACCGCATTTGGAGAAATCGGGACGACACCAAGCGTAACTGATCTGTCGCCCAAGGGCCCGATTAAGGGACAAAGGCCTTATCGCGCTTGCGGCCACAGGCGTGAAAGAAAGGCACAAACGGGCAGCGAACTCTGACCGGGTAGGCCCCCCCCGGGGCCCAGGCGCCCCGCAACCTCCGCGACTGCCCACGAGGGGCTCGGGGGTGCGGGGGGACGCACCTTGTGGCAGGCGGGGCAGGTGGGCAGCGCGCTTTTGCCGCCGTGGCCTCCGCCGCCGCCGCCGCCGCTCAGGCTGCTCTGGATCTGCGTGAGCTCCTGGCGCAGCACCTGCTTCTGGTGGAAGCTGAAGGCCGGGTGGTTGGAGGCCATGGTGAAGAGCAGCAGGAACTCATCGCCCGTGCGGCCCTCGTTGAGCTGCAGCCCGTAGTTGTGGATGATGGAGTCGATGTGCGTGAGCGTGCGGTAGAGCACGCCCGCCGCCTCGCGCTGCTCCGAGCCCAGCAGCGCCAGCGACACGAGCAGCTTGCTGCGCACCACCTCGTCCGTCAGGTTGGTGAGGCTGCCCAGGTCAGCCGGGTTGTTGGCCTTGATCTCCGAGTCGCGCAGCGAGTGGTAGTCCTTGCGGGCCAGGTCCTCGAGGCACGAGCCGAGGAAGCGCAGCTCGAGCGGGATGCACAGGTCCAGCAGGCCGCACAGGAACTCCACGCGCTGCGGCGACGGCAGCTCCGAGAACCAACGGTACACGCCGTCCCTCTGCAGCGGGCAGCGCTTC